CTATATCTAATGCAAATGTTTGAGTTTCTCTATAAAATACCAATACGCAGATCTCTTTTACTGCCAAATAATTAATATTCCGCTTGTTAGAAAAATGCAGCTGACAGCTTAAGTTCATTGTGCTTTCATAACTATTATAATCCCTTTGAGAATATAATCAAGGAAGGTATATCCATGTTAATTGTATAAACGAATATGTGGAATACAGTTAGACCTTAAGATGTGAACACCTAAAAATACGGACACTGATTGTTGACAGATTTTTGGATGTCCTCTCGCAATTGCAATACCGGATCCAACACCTGAAATGGGCATATCTTAAACCAGTCCCAGTGGCATTCATAATAGCTTCTATTACAGATGTGCTTGCATGTTTGCAATATTATGATCTGGAGTCTCTTTATGACTAAGTAATGCATTTACTTCATGATTTACTATAATGACTTCCCTGTTATATTCATCATTAGATCAAGATTAATATCATTTTATGTATGCTCATCAAAATTTATGTAAGGTCATAAACGACATCATCAATTACATTTATTGAAATGTTTGTAAATAAAAACAAATTGATTTATCATACAGAACTGCATGCACACTTACATATTTACAACTGCTTTGTCAACTTTGAGATTGCAGTTAGAAAAATGAAAAATATTATTAAATATACTGGAAAACATTTATAACATTTTAAAGACAATATTTTGAAGACAGCATAAAAAGTTGAGATAAAAGTTTTCTCGAAATATCTGCAACTGGAAACTCCTGTAATTTCTTCATATTGACAGAAAGGACTAGATCAATAGAGAGAGTAAGTGCCTCTTAACTGGCAACCCATTTAACTAAAGATCTGCAAATTAAAGAAACATGTTTCTTTAACTATGTGATTGTTTTACAGATAATTTGACTTTTTTTTTGTTATTCCATAAGCCTTCAATTACAGAAATGTCTTCATAAATAAAAAATATCAATCAATGATATACTTATCTTTTCTGACTAGTGTTATTGACCTCCAATTAAAAGAATATGTCTCCTTAAATTAAATGAAACTGTTGCCAGTTGATTTTTCAATTATGGACGAGAGAACACAAATATTACGAGTTATGAATTATTTGTAATTATGGGCAACACCATGATTAACGTTTTCACAATGTTGTCTATGACGTTAAACGATAAAACTGGAAATGGATAATCTATAAAATCATTTCTGAACATGTAAGATGGAGACATGAATCTATAAATTATTTGATAGACATAATAATGCTCATTGCTCTTTTTACTTTATGGATTATATAAGCTAACCATTTGTACTGGGTCATGCTGTCAAGGAAACAAAGCAGCTGTGTGTTGGAAACAAAGTGGTTGCATGTAATGTTGGAAACAAAATACATGTTCTAGAATAGAAGTTATATGCCAAATACAAAATGCCAATGCAAGGTATCAATTATCACTTTCTGTATCCCATTACTTTTTCCGACTAGATGAGTATATTATTACACAAATTTTAAAGTTACTTTTATTATGAATCAATATTAAGATGAAGAAAGTATTGCATTAATGCACTTCATTGGTAAACATAAATAGACATATCAGATTTTCTCAGCCAGTGACATGTTACCTCAAGCAGAAGATGGCTTCAATTTAGTGGAAAAGAAACATGTAAATCTGGTCTATTAAGGTTCTCTTCTTTGTGTGTAAGTCAGTTGTAATTGCTCCTCAGTTCACTTATTCTAAACCTAGCCAAATAATTCCTTCCTTGGTGATGTAATATTTTTGATATAATATTTCATGGTTGAAATCTCAAGATGAATTCAAGAAATATGTTTGTTCCTCGAGTTTGGGATTTTCAAATCATTTACTCATTGATTAAATTCCTTTTATGACAGATTCACTGTTCAAAAGCAGTGATGTGCGCAAATGAATATAATAAAATATTCATTTTTTAGGATAAATCGATGCCTCAATTACAGTTATACTCGTCTTTTTTATTTGTCACATTAGTATGTTATCTAACACCGCATTACTTGGATCAACATCAGCAACGGGATCAGTGAAATGTACTGTAAAGAATCAGTAAGTGCCAATGATAGGAAATGGCTATTTACTTTAAATGATTTCCAAAAACTTATTGAACAATACATGTTTCAATGGCAAACTTTATTCTCCATTACTTAATTGTCATTTGCAATTTGGAAAAAACGATTCATGTTTTTATTCTGGCAAAATGTTAGTGACAAAGAAAAAAAAGAAATAGTCAGTTAATATGGAATTGAGCATCAGTATATTGCCTTGAACACCAATTTGCAAGACACAAAATTACCCATTCAAATCTAAAAATGCATTCTTTTGACAGTCAGGGCTCCCGGGAGTATTATATAGCAATGTTACTAATATGTTTTGAAGCCAAATTATTCCCCAATGTCATCCTAACACAGGCGTTCATAATCAGTTGTCTGAGTGAAGACGATCTATACTTTCACAGAGGAGGGGGTGTAAAAAAACATGAAATAAACTTATGACATTTATACAATATTGGATTGTAATTACAACCTCGTACATGTTCAGACATACATTTTTATATTCTGATACATATTTGGATTGTGTTTTCACAAGCATTTCTTAGTTTAACATACCAGTATAATACAATATAATATGAAAAATTAATATTCCGAATTAATCTAAAATTCCAATGAATGAAAACAATCACTGTAACCAAGGTGACACAATTCCATGAAATATGCATCAATCATGCTCAAAGTAACCATACAGAAGAGCTCAGAAAAGTCCAGTAATGAAAAATGTTTTTTTAATGACAGTCATGCTTGAAATGACAATCAAGCACTAAAAACCAATTCTAACTAAGAGTATGTAGATAGATGTATGTATAGGGAATCCCTGGAGATCCAGAAAATCTGTTCAACAAGATCAGTTCTACTTTTCAGCATTATCAAACTTATGTCATGTGTGCAACATTTCCAGTAGAAGAATCTAGCTATTTGTACAATTTAGCTCTTTACATAAACCAGAGTTTTATCTAGGGATCAAATAATAATACATTATGATGTATAACACCAAAAAAACAACATTATGTTACATTTACTTTAACATTCCGCATAATCTATTGTCCCAAGTTGGGAATTTCAGTGGAGTAAAACAACCCATTGGGTTCAGTGCCTGAATATGAGATCTCATTGCTCATCCGAGGACAATTCATGGCTTCCAAGGCATTTACCAGGGATCACAAAGATGCTTTTTTATCATGCTGACTGTGAACTCCCATAGATTGTTTTAAGCCATTTGTAATAAGCAGGAGATTCAAATGTCGTGGGATTGAATTGTAAAAGAGACTATCTATTCTGCATATATTCAAGTTTTTTTGTTCAACATCTTCTATTCAAAATCAATGTTATGTGACATATATTTCAGTAAAATAAAACTAGGTCACATCATTGCCTGTATTGAACATAGGATCTTGAAAATCCAAGGAGGTATAACCCATTCAACCACTTCCATACACACACTACACCACTGGAAAAGCTATTACAGCTACGAATAATGGTAGAGCAGCCGACAACCTTGGTCTCTTGTTTTCTCTGATGAATAACATCATTCTGCGATAACAAAGAATATTAGCATTGGACCAGACAAGTATCAGATCTAATTACAAGGCAGACAATAGCATATCTTTAAATTGAATCAAACAATATAGTCTTGAATCAAGTTCAACCCCCATAGCTTATTTTTCTAATCTGAGTTTCAGAGAAAATAGAAGATGGCTTGATACAATGTAATTTAGAGCACAAAAACTATTTTAACAATCTGTATGTTTCAGAGGGACAAATTATTGCTTGATACAAAACAGTTTAGTGCACAAAACAAAATCAATGCTCCCCCTTCCAACACTATCTATTTTATCTATTTCCCTACCCAAAAGTAGATGCATGCTGTTTTGTGCAGAGGGGGGCTCAATGCAAGACTATAGATAAACGTGTATGGTACCAGTAAAAAAGTTGCTCACATAAGTAAAAGAGACCGACTTGGGCAAGCTAATAAGTTTTTGTTTGATAGGATCTGATGAATCAGTTGAACTAATGAAGAGCACTGACTAGATATGTCCTATAGGAAATGAGCTTCAAGCACTTTCAGTACCTCTCTTCAATCAGATTAGATTAATTACATGTCGATTTATTTTAAATCAATTCTACCCTACCTAGACTAGAGACATGTCTGGTATATTTAGGACGTGTTGAATCTGACACTGATCATATTAACTTCCTCAATAAAATTGATTTTCCAGCGAGATTGAGAGTTGGCAATTCCGAAGTAAAAATCTGTTCCAGCGAAATCAAAGTATGAGCAGGCCCATAGCCAGCTTTTGCCAAGGGAATTCTATGGGGGGCTCACGTTTGACAATTTTGGCCCACAATCACTTGAATATTAATCAGAATGCTGAGAAAGTGCATGATTTTTGGCCAGGGGGGTTGCTCAATCCCCCTTCCCGAACTCCCCCTGGCTAATGGTAACAGCCTGATGAAAATTAAACATTTATACTGTGTGGTTTATGCAGATGTTGTAATTAGGCACTATGTTAAATGATAGACATTTTTTAAATATATCTCTACTCTGATTCAGACTGAATGCAAACTGAATAGCTGAGTTAATCAACTTCAGCAGTGAGATTCATGCACTATTAATAGTTTCTGATCTTGCTGCTCCACAGTTTCATCTTTTTAATTTTTGAAGGATGTTTCTGATATGCTTACATGTGATACTTTATTCCTTGCTGATTTCCATCTTTTTCACATTTAATTAAAAAATATTCATCATGATATCTTTATGAAAATTGATGATCATAATAATCTTCAGCTGTAGTGCACCGGTGTTGTGCCTGCCATCTATGAAACCTAACTGAAATAAATACCATGAAAATAACTAGCCAATAACCATAAACTAAAAACACAGAAAGTTTCCTGTTTAATGAATAAAGCAAGTTAACTCACCTGTAACTTCTCAGCGTAAGAGGCACATCACAACTGGAAGTAAAGAAACAAATAATTAATTCTTTGATTTAAATGTTAAATTCATAATAATCCATTGTGATTTAAGATGAAGATGTAATGTAAAAACCTAATATGATGAGCTATCCAGCATCTAACCCTTGTGTTCCTCATTCTGTAACACAGCATGTGACATCAATATTGTGAAGGGAGGAGCAGCTTGATGCAAGACTATGACTAACAATTTTCTCCCTTTATCTCCTAATGGAGACGCATTTGAGAATTGCAGTCTGGTTGCCCAATCCTTCATTATCTCCTATTTTATTTATATTTCTCATTTTCAACATTTTCTTCTATACTTACACATAGCAACTCCATAACTGTTTTATCTTCATATAATCATCCATGGTTCTTAAGTCTTATATCCAAATTCATTGTTATTTACTATGTTAAATGTTTGACTCCAACATATGCTACATCCATTAAAATGCTTGTACAAAATATATGGTTGGATAAATTGTCCTTATATTAAGTTGTATGTTAATGCTGTACAAAGAGACACAGAGCTGTAATATATATTATAAGATACTTAAACTAAGCCAGGATTAGGTCAATTGATTCATTTATTACATACAACAAATACTTTTGATCTCAATTTGTTCCTGTATCATACAGTGATCCATCTCCCAAGCTGACCACTGCACCTGAGCATATCAATATTTTACACCCATTTTTCAACATTTTTACACCAAGTTGAGAATTTGGATAATCATAGAGAATTGGTATATTTTGATTGTTTTTGAACAGATGCATATGCATGTAGATGAATATGATTCAGTTTCATTTTTATGGTAATTGATTAGTCTGAAAGTTGCTGTTAAAATGATATTTGTATTCAACTTGAAGTCAACATATATTAAAGCCTGTAATATGGAACACCTCTTTAAGTGGAACACTTTCGGAGTCCCATGACCAGTTAACTTATTGTTGAATGAACCTCTGTAAGAGGAACACCTCCCAATAGAAGAACACCTAGAGTTGGTAAAGATGTTCTTCTTATACAGGTTTTACTGTATTCTGAACAATATACCCTTAATATACTTAATGGTTATGGGAGACGCATCATTACTCAAGATTAATGTTTTACAAAAATGATGAGGTCAGCATAATCAGAATAGGTCAGCATGCAATTTTATCTAAGCTCTTTATACTAGAATTTAGGATATTAGATATAAAAATATCCCACCATAATATCCTGTGATTCTTAAAGACCTCTCAAATTACTGTTTATAACATGTTTTTTATGAGTTCCTTTAACGTCATAAGAACTCTGAGTCACTGTGAAACATTGGGCCAGAAATATGGAAGGGGTAAAAATAGCCCTCCCTATCCTGTGATTTTTCATTCTCTACTGTGAGCTGTGTGAAAAATGTAGATATAATTTACTGCAAATATGAAATATGAGCAAAGAGCAACATACTCATGGGATGTTTACAGTAATATTTAATAAAATACTCCACAAGTCGGAACAGGAAATGCTCAAATTGATATTCAGCATGTTTGGCAAAATTAGTAATTGTATCCAGAAAAGTAAATAGCTATGAAGATTAGTGAAAGCAGTACTGTTCATGACAATAAATATGTTTATCATGGATTTAAGGCTAAAAAGAACACATTTAATCTAAGTGTATGTTTATCAACATTTTTTTCATTTTAAAAATTCAATAACATAATAATTGTATCATAATTATAAAGTGTTAGTTTTAATTCATAAGTCTGCTATAAAAATATTCAGTAAGTGTCAAACAATTATAAAATATTATTCTAAACTCCTGGAATGGAGACTTTGAATACATTAAAATTAATATTTTCTTTTTAATAACTCAATATGTAAGCATAAATCCATATCTTTTAATCTATTATAACATTGGAAAGTATTGATGCTATAGTATTAATATGTCTGTAATAGTTTGTAATGTCTGGCAGAGAACATCATACTTAAGGCTTTCTCAAACCACTTCCTTTTAACAATGTTATTCTTACACCTAACTTAATAGTTGAGACTTTAATAAACAAAATATACTACTATACTCAGGCCCGTAGCCAGGATTTGCCACTTGTGACAATTTTGGTCCAAAAATAGCCAAAATCACTTAAAAGTGCTCAGAATGGTGAAAAGCTGCATGATTTTGAAAGATTTTTTGGCCAGGGGGAGATTTTTGGCCCCTAGCTACGGGCCTATTACTACTTAACCTATTAAAATTGCATTAATCATTAATTCATAATTACATTTCCTAGTATCTTTTACTCAAAACTATAAACATTTATACACATTATACAAACCAATTGATTAATTTCAAGACCCCATTGAGATTAATCAGAAAAATAATAATTACAAATTCTGAAAATTCATTTTTACTTTAACATTACTCTACCTGTTATGTTTAGACACCAAGCCATATTTTTCATTTTTACTTCCATGATGCTTCAGCTTCTGCATTGTAACACCATAAAGTCAAACAGTATAATCCAAAATAAAAGGCCTCCTATAACTTTATATCCTTCACTAAAAGCTTCTAAGGAAGAACATCTTAACAATGATTTCCTAAGCTCACATAAAAAACATTAGATTTTCCTGTGAGATCTCGGAGGAAGTGGACCTGCCAGATGATATTTCTGAATCAGGATATAGCAGTCATAATCTTGTTTAAAAGTGTCTTTTTCAGAAAGCCTCTAGCTAATGGTTGTAGTATTGCCTGAGATTGTGCAGGTTATGCAAACTTTAGAATGAGATTACCTAAAACTTAATAGATTTCAATTCATATGCATTGTTGTGAACTTTTGAGCACTCCCATTTAAAAGCCTCAAGGGAATTCACTTAGTCTTCAGATTAGAGATTTTCCTCAATGGGGATTAAAGTATCAACACTTAAACCTCCCCCAAATCTAAATTCCTGACGGGTCCCAAGTATTCATTATGACTTCTCTATTTAAACTTTATTTATTTTAATTAGGCCCCACTATGCAATAAGTGTGGGTCTAATATCAGCATTTTTTCTCTAACCTAAAGTGGTTTTAATACATAATAATGTGTTAACAATCCAGTTGGATTTAAAGCTCTAGGAACGCTGGGGAAAACATGAATTCAAGGCTTATCTTTGATGCCATAATAATTGATCATGTTAAGCTAAATAAATCTGGGGGAAAATCTAATAAAATATCCGCATGAATGAAATAGTGTCTGCAAATAGTAAAGGTCTTGTTCAAACATGAAATATGATAGTACTACATATTGCACTATTTTTAAATTTAAAACTGAATTAAAAAGCATTTCACTCAAGCTAATGACATAACTGTAGTTGTTTGTTGGTACTCAGTGAACTTATTCATCATTGCCCTCATACTGTTTTCAATCATTTTACTTCAACATTTCTAGAAGCATTTACTTTTCATATTCTGCTATACAGTGAAACCTGTATAAGTGGAACACCTCTGTTAGTGGAACAGTCCCAAGACCAACTGACTTAATGTTAAATGAACCTCTATAATTAGAACACCTCCCAAGTGGAACACTTTTAGAGGTTCCAAAGGTGTTCCACTTAGACAGGTTTTTACTGTACAATGATTTTTGATCCCGATACAACATTGATGTTGCTATGGCTATTACCCTGGTACCAATAGACTGGCAATAAAACACAATTTAATAGTAAAGCCTCTGTGAGCTTCAAATAAGTCAAACCTTCATAAAGGGTAGAAGTGGCTATGACTAGAGACATCTTTAGAATGGGATAAACTAAGAAAACCTATCAAATCTGATTTTCATATTTACTGAGCCATGTTATTATTGGTTTTAGTATTTCTTCAGCAAACAATAAATAACAATCGGATGATAAGTTGGTCTAATAATCAGTTCCATGTTTCAATCATGCACTTAGATCCCTGGAGAGCTGAACAAGTTGATGCAATAATTGGTTATTACAATGCATATGATATAATTCTACCAGTATTATCCAGAGATATTATCTCTGATGGTTGTCATTATACTATCACAATTAAGGAACAGAGAGACATAATCAATTCCTACTATATGATAATCTGGATGGCCAGTTAGGGGTGGGCCCTTAGAGATCTCGGGAACACTATAACCTTTTTTACTTTAAATAGGGAAGTATGTCCCTTAGAAAACAACCGGAAACAGATTTTTTCTCAATCATTGAAGTACAGAAAATATTATGGAATTAAATGTTTCTCAAACCAAAACTACCAGACATAGGATATTTTTTCTTTGTTCACTTTTTGAAAAAAATGTTAGGTCCCTAAGATTCTGTGTACAATTATGATGTGTTAAAGACTTTGATATTAGACTGAACTTGGGATAACCTCACCGTTGGTAAGTGACACTGACCTTGGAAAGTAACATTGACCTTGAGAAATCAGAGTGACCTTGGCCCATTCTGAAATACATATCATTTGAAATACATATTATGTGAAATACATATTATGTTATTCAAATATGACTTGATCCTTGAATGACCTTGTTTAATTCAGATTAATAAGCTATCTTATCTAATTGTCTATGATATTGAATATGAGGATTCTAACAGTTTGGAAGAGTGACTTACTTAAGAAGTTCTTTCGCATCAAGTATCCCAAGCTTATTTAGCAAACCTGCAATCAAAGGCATCCAGCACATGGTACCTGCTATAGGATGATCTAAGGGCTAAATGATTCCTCACGATTTCAGACGATTCCGGACAATATCTGATGATCAATGACCATCGGTTAGAATGATTCCTGGTTACTGGTACTGATTTCTAGTTAAATTCGATGATTCTTGGCTATGGCTGTTGATCCTCCACTTTATCAGATGATTTCTAACTTTATCTGAAGATCCCTCACAGTCGCTGATAATAACAAGCTCTGATTTCAGTTTGCAGTTAAATCCCCTACTCAGTATATTAAATATTGTCAGTACAGTGTGACCAGTATACACTTATACAGCAATAAATCGTGACCATTTATGTCCAAATTCAATTC